AGATGCAGGTAAACTCAGCACACTACAAACATAATTTGGTATTGTTTATGTGTTAAGTAAAGTTAAAAAAAATAAAATAAAATAATATCCCTATGAATAATAACTGGTGTGTGTCCGTTGTTTTTTTTAAATTATCGTGATGCAATTATTTTTAAAACTAAAAAATGTATAATATTTTTTTTAACAGTATATTACAACTTATAAGAAAAAAAACAATTTAGTCCACAGAGAAAGTTTCACTCGAATGGCTTGGTCGTTAAAGTGTTAACCTCCAGATCTTCCTCCTATTGAGAGGTCAATTCCCTACTTAATAGATATTGGTCCAGGAAGGTAAATTACCCAGTGTCTTACCCATTTTGGCAATAAACCCTATGTTTGAATAAACATATGAATGTATGCCCTCATGTTCAATAAACCTTCAAAAATCCAACCTCGTCACTCTTATTTTCTTTGAATTTGTTGGCTGTATTCAAATATATTTATTTTTTGGTGTAACTTAAATATTATCATCTCTCTGTATTATCTGTAGATAATGATAGGTGCTGTAATTTCACACTTTTTCTGTTTTTAAATAACATCATCTTTATCTTTAGACAGTTGTAATCTATATTTATAAAGCTGGAAAGTGATATTTATATATTGTAACTTCTGACTACTTGGAACCTAGGGAGTTACTTAGACGATTACCAAAAAAAAGGTTTTAAATTACATCTTAATGTACCTATCTATCCCTTAACTCTATACCATGTTATACTCTTTCAATATCCTAATATTCCATTACTGCTTTTATAAAAATTAAGAATGTCAATAATCATTTACATTCTGTACTATTCTGTATTATTACAACTTAGTTTGCATTTTAACTTACGTACTAAATTATTTTTTATTTTTCACCATATTGATAAATACTTAACTGATAATCTATAATCTAGTATAGTCCATCTCAATTGAAGGTAAAAGACCACACGGAAGGCCAAAAATCAGATAGATGGATAGAATAAACAAAGATGTAATAGAGCTGTGTGCAGATATCTGGAAAGAAATAGCCAAAACAGGCAGAGATGGAGCAGGCTTGTTAAGGCGGCAAAAGATCTACAAGGTCTTTAATGCCAACAGAAAAAATAAATAAAATAGTCCATCATTTATATAATATATTATATTTCTATAATTCACTTTTAACACTTATGATTTGTTATGAGTTCAATCCTTTATCTGCCCTGATGAAGCCCTAAAACATTGGCAAATGCAATATAATAGTACTATAATATTATAGTATATTTACTGACTGTAACTCCGACCAACTTCTTCTTAAATTAGAATTAAAGTCAATTATTTTAATACCATTATGAATACATTTTAAATAAATTTGAAAGTATTACATTGCCTGCTAGATAATCTCAGCCATATCATTTGTAGTAGTAGGTGATTTATGTGGTGCATAAGATACTACTCAATTTTCCTGCGTCCTATATTTTACCCAACTCTTTTAAAGAACTTATAGGATTATTGCCGTTTAAAGATCATACATGAGGATAAGAAATTTTCTTTAAACATATATTTTAAAGTGTCTAATACAGTTTATGAAGCAGGTAAGTATAAAAGAGTGTACCATATTAATAAATTTATTTTGATTCTGAGTTCACTTATATTATCACCTACTGGGTGGACCATAACTGCATCTTTTAATTTGCTTGAGATTCGATATAATGTGCGAATTCCTGTTTGTCTTGGCTTCTACTGTAGAATATTCCAGTTTTTCTCTACAGCATGCTTTTAGCTGTCCTGTTTTTTAAATCAAAAATGCTTTATTAACTTATTAATTTCTACTATGTCTTGTGTTCATATACCAATATTTATTATATTTTCCTGAAACATAATCAATAATTAATTAGTTGATTTTTATTTTCCTCCCACTTTGCATACATGTCAAATTAAAAAATCTGGTGCGCGCATTCACAACTTTCACTTACTGCTCTACTTTGAATAGAAATTATTTTTGACAAAATTGGGCAATTACTAAGTTTATAAAGTGCATTTTTAGCGGAGCTAAATCTTAAACCTTACAGCTAATATGTAACTACTTTTAGGCCATTAAAATACAAATTCTATTTATTATATTGATGGAAGGCAATAAAAATCTCATAACTCAATCTGTTTAAATTATGTGTAACTCAATCACTTAACTCCAGTTTCTTTGCCTAGAGAAATTTCAAAGTACATTTGTATATTTAACTTATAAATGATTATGCATTGCACTACTATTAGTTATTAAACTGTTATTTTCCCATTACAAAGTTGAAAGTTATGAGATTTTCATTACCTACCATCGTTAGGTCAAAAGTTGTCATACTAATTTTAAGTGCTTAATGTTGTAATTTCACAGAAGAAAAATACATCAAATTATTCACTAACTGAATTTTCTAAAATGTTACATGATGATTTTTCTAAATTAACCGATATCTATCTATATATGATAGATATATAATTATTTAATGATATTGTCAGCTCTAGAGTTATTAAACTACAGTAGATGTATTTAAGGTTATAAACATATATTTTACACATCCATGAAATATTTTTATACTTCACTTCTTTCACATAAATACAATGAAATACTTATTTCATTTTTTAAATGTCATTGCCTTGATTTAGTGAATTTTATATAATTTATAATTTCTTTTCAAACTTAACAATAATTTTAAAAGTTCACATTTAATTAAATTTAGTTAAGAAATTTCATTTCATTTCCTTGGAAACATGTGGTTTTCATGAAATAATATTAGTTTTCAGAAAGTATTATTTATAATTTTTTCATCACTCTACATTACATTTTATGACTTAGTATTATTAGATATTGTTTTTTTTTTTTCGAATTCTCAGCTTTCCAGTATATTATACGTATACCATCTTACTATTATTTATGTCTAGACCATTTTTCCTTTTTTCTCTTTTAATCAATTATCTAATACTTTCATAGTTTATATTGAGCCTTTTATTAGTGCTACTAACGATGAGAGACAGTTAATTATTTAAAATAAATCAAATTAAAGGTACTTTAGAAGAAGAAATTTTGGTATTTAAGCCCTCTTAAGCATGATCAGTGAGGATAAGACCTTAATGATATTAAAAACCATATAATTGTACCATGATATACTGAGTTAAATCAAAATGGTTGTAGCTGTTTTTGAGAATAATGTAAAAGTATGTAAAATCTATGATATAAAGTACCATTTTCAGTTAGCCGATTTTCAGGAAAAAGTTGTAGCATTGCTGGCATATATCTACCTTAAATATGTAATACCTGTATGACCTTTTGTTTTTGAGCTAGACTGTTAACACACACAGACCTTTTTTGTGGAGTTGGTTATTTGGACTCAGGAGCCTCAAATCAAATCCAATCCTGTACCTCCCAATCTTTTCCTAAACAACTCACATATCTCGTTCTGTACTTCTGTTAAAAACCTTGGTGTTATTTTTTATCAAATCCCCTCCTGGAAACCACACATCTCCCGAATTTCCCGTCATACTATTTCTACCCTGAAATAGTTCAACTATCAACGCTATCTGCTCCCATACAAAATCTGTCAATTCCTGATTTCCTCTCTTGTTTTCCCTCACTTATTTTGATTCAGGCAGCAATACTGGGGCATTGCTGAAGAGGAAAACAAAGCATCCCTAAAATGTGCTGATAATAAAAAAAAAAAAAAAAAAAAAATTATAAAAACTATTATTTTTTCAAATGTTATGTGTGGAAGGAGAAAGAAAATATAATTTTAGCAAATAAACTGAGGCTTTAGTGCCAAAAATGATGAATCAATAAATTAAAATTGAAAATTAACCTTCTCGGTTGGAATATAAAAGAAGGAAAATAGTACAGGAAAAATTGTATGTCTTTGGAAAAAAATGCAAATCACGTTTAATTATGATTTATTGAAGATTCATAAATTTAATCAAATAAATTGATGAAAAGTGGTTTGAATTTTACAGATCAGCCTTAAGATTTTTTTAATGCTATATTGCTGGACACCATGATACTATCTTACTGCAAAAGCTATTGAGAGTGAGCTAGCCTTGTTAGAATACTGACTAAACATTGTGAAGAATCATAGCTCAAACCCATGCTGGTACCCACAATGTTGTCTTCTTGGAAAATTTATAAAATTTGTCATGAAGACCATTGTTTGACTGATGCTTTTTTAGTCCAGTCTGCTCTATTGTCATTAATTTTAATATTCCTCAGGTATTTAAATGAATTATTTGAAAAATGCTGTATCAAGTTCCAAATCTCTTTTCAGGCAACACTTTTTAGTATATAAATAATTATAGATTAAGTTTAATAGTTCCCTCTTGTCTCTAACCTTGCTTCCTATTCGATTCCTGATAACCCTCCGAGGCGTCTGAAAAGAAGATGGCCACGTGATCTTCTAATATAGACATATTATTAGAGTGCTACCAATGGGTAGTTTCTCAACATGTGTTCCATGTCTTTATACCAATGTGCGAATTAACCAGATGTAGTTTTTGTATACAGTTGTAAATATCATATAAATAAATAAATAAAAAAGTTTAATAGTTAATAAATTTACAATAGGGCTTACACATTTCACTTGATACATGTGAAATTGACTTTAACAGTATTTTAGTCTCCACAGATTTAATTATGATTCCTTGAACTTTCGTCACTATTTATTTATTTACAACTGTATTTTATTTGTGATGGTGATATGTCTGCATTGTTTTATTATCACATTTTATACAATAGTATTCCAACTCAGAAAGGAGGTTTTTCAAAGCTGGAAAAAGGTTGAATATATAATACTGAACTTATTTATAACAAGTTTTCATTTGATAGGTTGCATATTTTTCACTTCTATGATATGTAAATAATTAGCTATTTATATTTTATTGTATGTTTTTAAAAACAGTTTGATAACTAAGTATTACGCAACACTTTTATGTAGTAACTTCAAGGTTATAATAATTAAAACATTCTTTTATAGGTGATAAGGAGCGATATTCTTTTCCAACAGACGTTTCATTACATGCTGAGTTCACATATTACTATTACCCTGGAGACATTGCTTTTCCATGTAAGTGCTTTCTTGCAACTTTTTAAATTCTAAATACTATCCTATTATTTCTCAGTCATATTAGTTTGATAGGTATTTGAGAAAGATAATCAGAAATATATTTTATGATGGAGATAGTTGATCATTGATGAAATCAAGGAGATAATGGTTATGAGCATGGAGTATATTCAGAAATAAAACATGTGATTGATTGAGTGATCTAATGGCAACATTTAAGAAAAATATAAATTTTTTTAGATTTATGGTATGGTATTTATGATAGAGATGAATTTCTGTTGAATATTTTGAAGGATATCATGGATGATAAATAATTTGGATTTTCAGTCATAATAAACTTATTATGAAAAAATATCCATAAAAACATAGTACGACTATTATTTAACAAATTTTTAAGTATTATACAACTCAATTAATTTCACATAAGTATATTTTTTTTTATTCTTGAAGTTTACAACTGTATAAAAATAAATATACATCCATTGAATGTGATACAGAGAAATCCAATGCCATGAAAAGACTTGTAGAGAGTCTACCCATTGGTAGCACTCTAATAAAGCATCTTAATTTGGAGATCATGAGGCTAATTTCTCACATAAATATAAAATGGGTGCTGAGAAGAGAAAGAAGAATAGAGACATAGATCTAGGAAAGATAGTGGATGGTGATGACATTAATTGACATGGCCTGGGCAAAAATATTAGACCCATGAGAAATGACCTAGGAGCTGAGAAAAAAACATTTTTAAAATTTATTTTTATATTTTTTAGGTATTTTTTTTAAAAATATTTTTAGGTATATTTTTATATATTATTCGGCTGAGGTAGCTGAATGTGCCGAGAGATTGGGGGTTGATAGGGGTATTAGAAATATGAGAGCTCTATGGCAGTCGCTTCCAGAAAATTCGTTCGAGGAATGGACCAATTGCAGGTGGCAGGGCATTGGAATTCGCCATTTTAAAGAGACCCCAAAAGCAAATAAATACATGTATGATAAGGAAGTACTTTCTGGGTCTGAATGGTCAAATGCTCTGAAACTAAATATTAATTATGCACCCCTGCGTGGAGTCCCAGGTGTCAGTGGACAGGTTCGCAAATGCAACAGAGAGCCAGAAACACCAGCACACGAGCTTGGAAAATGCCCCAACAACTCCCTCCTTATAACAAGCCGTCACCACAGAGTCAAACATGAACTTATGAGGCTCCTTAAAGAGAGAGATTACGCCTGTTTTGAGGAAGTATATTGTATAGATATGGATGGATCCACCCGATATGCCAACATTGTAGCATTCCCTAAGACGGGAAAGTCGGCAATGATTTTGTATCCTACCGTGAGGTATGAGACCAATGACCTCGATCATGCAGGCAAAGGGGAAAGAGAGAAAAAAAAAAACCTATGAGAAATGCATTCCTTTCCTTAGTAAAAAGTTCCGCGAGAGTTTCGGGCCGAGAGAGTTCCACGTGAGAGGCCTTTGGTTCGGAGCTCGTGGAACGATACCGAACTCAACAAGGAGCTTCATGGAGGGCTTTGGTGTCGACATAAAGGACATGGTAAGGTTGGCGGAGAATATAATCCTTGACTCCCTGGGAATTATCCATCACCATGTGCATGGATAGAGAGAGAGTTTGTTCATGGGGGAAGGCAAGCGTATTTTACAGCATTTTTACATTATTTATTGACCACGTCCACTGCACTTTATGTATTTTAATGCATTTTATGAATTAGGTTAGGAAGAGAGAGGAGAGAATCTAGGGAATAAGAAAAATGTATAAGGGGAGAGAAGGAAGAGAAATGGATGTATAATGCTAATAAATGAATGAAAGAAATAGTAAAAATAATTAAAAAAAAATATATATATATATACATATATATATAGAAAAAAAAGTTATAATAAAAAAAATATATAGAAAAAAAATTGTATACTATGCTCATACTACTATAGTATACTATGTTAATACTATATAATTGTATATTAGTTTTGGTCTTATTACTTTTAATAAGCAACCCAATGTAATTGGGCAGCACCCTTTTATGATAATAAAGTGATTCTCTCTCTGTTTTTGTCTTTGCTGTACATGGATTTCTAGGTTATAATATATCAATGAGTTTCTTTTTTTGTGTAAAATAAGAAAAACATATTGCTAATTGTACTAAACAAATTCAAATGTATAATAAATTATAAAAATCAAAAGATGTTATCTTTGCTGCTTGGTGGTCATCTAATTAACCGAAAGGAGTTCTTTACCTTTGTAATTACTGAGCTTCTTGTATCCATACTTTCTTCCATATTTTCTGAGTTAGTTGTGATAGCTTGACTCTTAGGTGTTCTCTCCTATCTTTTTTTACAGCTCTGAAGGTAGGCTATCCATCCCTCAGTGAGGTCCATATCTTCTGCATCTGCTGATTGAGAAGCTGCTGGAAATGTTCATTGCTTAGTATCTTATATTTTGATACCATCAGTTTACGATAGTTTTCCTTCATTCGTGTTTTTTTGCTTTATATCATACCTTCTTTCCTGAATTCACATATATTTCCTACCTGTCAGTTGTCTTCACTGGTTTAGAGTATTTCTTTGAGAAATTATTTTATTTGTCTTTTTACTGTTGTACAGAGTAGATTGGTCAGTTTTGGCAGACAGGCATTCATTTTTCTTCTTTCCTTCGTCTTTATTATGAAACACTTCTTAGCTTTTAGTTTTATCTGAATAAATATTATTTCCTTATCCATTTTTTTTTCATTTTAGCCCTTTCTTTAGTACCTCGCAATGCTGATCAAGTGAGACCCTCTGGCAGTTATTATGGGTTTAAATTTACTCTTCAGCTACCTCTTTCTTTCCACTTGATTCCCTATTCGTTGATTCTATTCAGCTCTGTCAGTGTTTGATTCTACTTAGAATTGGGTCCGAATCACAGTCGTCCCCATGATGGCTTGTTATGCCTCAGATGTCTCATATGCATCAGCATGTGGTCAGTCTGTTTTTTTGAACCTCAAGGGCTACCTGCATAATAGTAGATTTTTTACTTTTATTGTGAATATCGTATAAATATATTTTATAGAGAATGTTTTTATAGACATTTTTATGTAACTAGTCTGATTGGAATCGGATTTCTACCAAAATCAAAAGCTATTTTACCGAGTCCTCAAAGGATTAAGAAAGGAAAGATCGCCAACCCTGAAATTCGTCAAAGACAAGGAAGGAAACATTCTCAGGCAGAAGGATGAGATAATGGAAAGGTGGAGGGAATACTTCCAAGATCTGCTGAATGAAAATGAAAATGGACAGACACCCTGTGTAGATGAAGAGACAAGAGAGGTAGGTCCTTGGGAAGAAGACAACTTTATTGGTGATGACACAATTATAATTGGAAGAAGCAATCTGGAGTATGAAGCTAGGGAAATCCGCAGGTAGTGATGGTGTAACTCCTGAAATGCTAAAATACATGGGGCCGAAAAGAAAAGAAATCTTACTGCATCTGCTAAACTTAGTGTGGAAGCAGAAGAAAATACCTAAGGATTATGAAGTGGCCATCATCGTCCCTATCTTTAAGAAAGGAGATAACAGAGATTGTAACAACCATCGAGGCATATCTCTGTTGAGCGTACCAAATAAGATTTACTCTAAGATCTTGGAAAAGAGAATAAGAAGAAGAATCGAAGGATTACTTGAAGAAGAACAATACGGATTTCAGGAAAATCGTAGCACCCAGGATCTTATCTTTACCATGAGACAAGTTTTCAAAAAAGTATTGGAGAAAGAAAATTAAATGTCTGTGTGCTTTGTTGATCTTACAAAGGCCTTCGATCGGGTGAGAAAGTCTGATATCTTAGAGGCCTTGAGAGAAAAAGGGATTGATCAAGGTCATGTCCTGGCGGTTGAGAGTCTCTACAAAAAAACATGAAACATAGTAAGATTTGCCAAATGCACTTCACAGGAAATTGAAACAATTGGAATCCGGCAAGGTTGTAGTCTTAGTCCACTTTTGTTTATACTAGTGATGGACTCAGCAATACGAAGGGCTAAAGGAAAAATGCGGAAATTTCATCTGGGATATGCCAACCTGAGATCGGTGAGCCTCTCAATACTTGCATTCGTTGATGATGTTATTTTTTCGGACAGTGACAGGAATCTTCAGTACAATATTAATAAATTAAAAGTCTTTGGGTTAAGAGGGTTGGGGAGAAGCCTAGGAGAAATATGCGCATCATAAGAGTCGAAGACAAAATCCTTGAGCAGATAGAAAACTTCAAATACTTGGGTGCACACCTTAATGAAAATGGATACATCGATTCAGAGGTGACTGAGCGAATCGCTGCTGCGAGCAGGATGTTTGAAGCAGTTAAGAAAGGTTTTCTAAACAGGTGTGATGTAGAAAAGAAAAGAAAAGTAGCTGTTTTCAGATCGACATTTCTTCCCATTTTAACATACTCTTCAGAATCATGTACGCTGACAAAGAAACATCAATCAAGGATACAAGCGTAAGAAATGCAATTCCTCCGAAAGATTGAGGGGAAAACGAGAAGAGACAGAGTACACCACTATCAGGTCAAACCTCAATATTAAGCCGGCCAATGATGTGATTGAGGAGAATCGACTGAGATGGCTAGGACACCTTCTGTGGATGGAACCAAACAGAATAGCTAGCAAAACATATCGATCTAAAGTAGACGGCAAGAGAGGAAGAGGACGGCCTAGAAGGAAATGGGAAGATGAGGTAAAGAGCGATTTCCAGAGAAGAGGTCTTCAATGGAACAATAGAAGGCGCCTTCTTGAAGACCGGCAGAGCTGGAGAAGGCTCTATAGACTTCCTCCTCACACTGCTTAATGCGGTTCAAGAGGATGGATTATGATGATGATGACTAGTCTGATTGTGAAAATGTTTTTATTTGAGGTTGTAAAAACTAAGGAATCAAAAATATTTTTCATTTTTTAACATTATTCATTTTTAGTTGAAAAAGTTCTAGAAATGTACCTGTGTTATGCTATGAGGCTGGAAAAAAAATCTACAATATATAATCATATGTATATAAATTTACTTTTAAATATTCACTATTATATTGTTTGCTGCACAATAATTATGTTAATTTTGTACTTTTATCATTTTACATTATTTTACTCCCACCATTATTTTTATTTTTTTATTTTGCTCATCACCCTACCTATCAAAATGGAAAGTCTGCGCCTTTGCTCCTAAGGAATAAATAAATAAAACTCAAAAGTTTATGTTTATATCATATTTTTATTTCTAATTTGTTTATGGGGATCTGTTTTGTGTAATTTATATGGCCCTAAAGCTCTGATAATCTTCAAGATGATAGTAATGTTAAAGTTATCACAATTTTTTTTATTTCCTAAAACCAATGAAAGGCTCCACTCTTGAGAATAGTTTTGACTAAAAATTTTTATTTTTCTATTTCCATTTGCTCACATTTATTTGAGGGTTATTTATTGCTAGGGTTGATCCCTAGTAGGTTGATTAACACAAATTTTAGCAATAACCATAATATTCCTAGTGAAACTTCACTAACCCCGATAAAATGAGATCGAAAGGCTGATTATCAGTTAACATTTATATATATAGGTTGATCGCTAGATGATTGATTGACACTTTCATTCAGCAATTAGGAGAATTTTACAAGTGACACCTTAAGGACCTTGTCAGATAGGAAGGAAAGGCCGATGTATCGGTATTTCGCTCTTTTATCAATCTTTGTCTAAAAAAGTTGGACAGTATAGATTATTATAATGCATCTGGGATAACCGGAAGTTTGAACAGAAGTGAAATTTCTTCAGATATGTATTATTTTTTAATGATTCTACATTTATGGGAAATGCCTCTCTTATAGATAATTACCTGTACTGATCAACCACCACTAATTCTCATTGGAAATGCAAGATAAACCAGCAACATTGTGGGTCAGTGATTTTTATCCTCTAAATGTAACTATGTTTTCAAGGTTTATTGAAGAACAGCCTGAGCTCTTTGAAGATTTCTCTGTATAGAAGGGTTGTTTGATTCCAGGATGGCTGTTCAGTTCTGAACACTGAAGCCTCATAGATAAAGTTTTAAACCAAAACTGGGTTTAAGATTAAATATATTTATAATAAATAATCAAAATAAATATAGAAAGACAATTAGAACCTGATTTTCCTATTTAAATTTCAAGACAAATTTTTTTTTTTTACAAAAATGTTATACTAATGCCAAGTCTATTCCTAATTTTGCTTTAAACTTAATAATGATAAAAAATGTTTTTAATTAATCAATGATATTATATTTATAAAAAATAGGAAAGTAATAGATTTTTACTGTGCCCATTTCTTTATTAAAATTTAATTTTAAATGTCTTGCACAGAAAAATTACCTGTTATTGCCAATAGCATAAGATTACTGACATATAACCCAGAGTATATATGGATGTGTGTGTGTGTGTGTACACATTATAAGATATTTTTAAAGATTTTCTTTTTCTTATATTATGTTAACAGTGCCATCTCCAAAGTTCTACGTTCAAATAAATCCTGTGTATATTAACTTTGATTTGTTGACGGTCTTGTGGCTTAATTCATTTGCACTGAATTTACATCAATCACTTGTGAATACAAAACAGGAATCTGTTGCTTTAAACTATATTGATGTCAAAATTGAAGCCATCATGCCTCGGGTAATCTATTTTTAAATTTAAAAACATTTTTTTATTGTTATGAAATTGTTTATTTTCTTAATGTTTTATACTTAATAGTATACATAAAATTTATTTTACTTGTATTTTGGTTAATTTTATTTTATGATCTAATGAATGTGCCATGTTAGAAGATAAGAACGTTTCCTTTTCAGATTTCTTGGAGAATTATTTGGAATAGGTGGATAAGTCATCAAGATAGTTGGCTAATTGATTTTTTTATTTGAGTGCATTCTCTGATCTATGCCATTCAATAATCTGAACTGTCGCAAAATATTTTGAGCGTATGAATAAAAAAAGTAAATTTTTTTATAGGAACTGAACTGTAATATAATTAATCTATATATCCATTAATCTATATATCCAATCTGGAATACTTCCGAATCTCAAAGAACGGAACGACAAAATTGCTCAAAAATAAAAAAAGGGAGTATCTTAAAAATAAATAATTGAAATAGAAATTAATAGAATCGAAAATAACGTAAGAGACATGTACAAAGGTATAAACAGATCACGTAAATATGTAGGGCCCGTAACGTCTGGAATTAGGGATGATAATAACAATATTCTGACCGATCCGGTTGACATATTGAATAAGTTTAAGGACCACTTTGACAATATATTAAATACGGGAAATTATGATCTGTGTCCTCCTTCTGAGTACCAGAGTGCTGAACCGTTAATAGAAGGACCAAGTAAAGAGGAAGTTGAAGTAGCTATCGGAAAATTAAAATCATATGAAGCAGCGGGAATCGATAATATTCCTACTGAACTAATTAAGGCATGCGGGGAAGCTGGAGTTTCTAAAATACATCGGTTGGTTAAAAAGATCTGGGTGAACGAGAAATTACCTGAAGAATGGAAAGAATCTATTCTTATTCCGATTCACAAAAAGGGTCCTAGGACGGATTGTAATAACTATCGAGGAATTTCACTCCTTCCGGTATGTTATAAAATATTCACTTTAATCTTAACCAGTCGAATCACGGAATACGCCGAGGAAATTATCGGAGACTACCAATGCGGATTTAGACGGAATCGTTCAACTATTGATCAAATATTTTCTTTACGGCAAATATTAGAGAAAAAATTGGAGTATAACGGTATTGTTCACCAGCTGTATATAGATTTTAAAAAGGCTTACGATTCTATTGACCGCCAGAAACTGTATAATATTCTAATCGAGCAGGGGATTCCAAAAAAACTAGTAAATCTAGTCAGGATGTGCTTGACGGAGACACTCAATAAAGTTAGAATCGGTAATAATTTGTCCGAAAAATTTGAGGTTCGTTCGGGGTTAAAACAGGGGGATTCTCTTTCGCCTGTCCTGTTCAATTTGGCATTAGAACATGCCATTAGGGAGGTAATGCGAACCGAGAAAGGGTTGGATCTGGGCGGGACAACATCCGTGCTGGGCTATGCTGATGATCTGGTACTGTTAAGCGAAGACGTTGAAACTATAAAACTAAATACGACAATGTTGATGAAAGCCGGTAAAGAACTAGGACTCGAAATAAACGTGGATAAAACAAAATATATGGTTAGCTGCAAGAATGGCGATACTACTGGTGATATCGATATAGATGGTAATATGTTTGAACAGGTAGATAAATTTAGGTATCTAGGTTCTACGATAACTAGAAAAAACGAAATTGAAGAAGAGATTAAGGTTAGACTGAAGGCGGGGAATGCTTGTTATTTTTCTATGACAAAACTACTTAGTTCGCGCCTCTTGTCCCGAAACTTAAAAATTAGAATCTATAAAACAATTATCTTGCCTACAGTTCTTTATGGATGCGAAACTTGGCCGCTTACATTAAGGGATGAGCAGCGTCTTAAGGTTTTTAAAAATAAAGTATTGCGTAGAATATTCGGACCGAAGAAGGATGAGTTAACCGGAGAGTTCAGACGGTTACACAACGCCGAATTGCGTGAGCTGTATCCGGGTAATATAATTGAGGTAATTTCATCGCGGCGAATCAAATGGGCTTGTAAAGTTGTTGGGCTTAGTAACGAGAGAATTCCTAAAAGGTTAATATTTGCTGTGCCGAATGGTAAGCGTCCGAGGGGTAGACCGAAGCGAAGGTGGGAAGATTGCATTAAAGCCGATCTGAAGGGACTGGGTTTGGACGGCGAACGGTGGAGGGAGGTGTGTAACAAGCGATTGGTGGTGTCGGCATCGAACCTTCGGGTTCGCTAAGCCTTATTATTATTATATATCCATTAAAATTGTATTACAAATAAGCACAGGTTAGGTTTAAAAAAGTATAGTTTAAATTTTGAACTCCTTTTATTTATAAAAAAAATTATATATTACATTCCTATTGTTTCCATCTAATGTTTCTTCCTGTTAATTCTTTATTGGCACTAAATCCATAAGGGGTATGGACCTTCTAAAGCATCAACCATCAGTTATCCTTATTTTGAGCAGCTACTTTCAACTTCAGCATGCCAGGAATGGATTTGCATCAGATGTCACACCATCAGCCCAGCTCAATTTTGGCTTTTCACTTTGATCTTCAGTGTAACTGTTCTGTGAAGAGCTTCAGGCTTTGATTGAGGTCAGTATCCTGGTTCAGCTCCTATATTTCTACATTTGCCTTTAGCTCCTCCTATTAGTTTAAACACTGGGCCAAATATTCTATATAGTATGCATTGTTTAATTTGTTTCTAATATCTTTGGTTCTGAATTGAGTCCAGTATTCTCAACCATAGGTGAGGACAGGCCTTATTGAAGTTTCTTACAGGCCCAGTTTTGTTTTTCAGAAGACAGAGTTATTCACCATGTAACTCTGGAGAACAAGGTAGCACCTATTAGCTGTTATTATTCTTCACTATTTCTCAAACTGCATTTAATTACTGGGATTTACCAGTGTTCCTAAATAAAGTTTTTGTGCTCACTCAGAAATAAATTTTCTGGTCTGAACTTCTGCATACTCCTTACTACATTCTGCACTATAAAGGATTTACAATGTGTCTAATTCTAATTGCAGCTTCTTAGAAATCTAGGAAGGTGTCCCACATGGAAGCAAATGATTTACCTTTTGGTACCCACATCATCAGTGAATTCCTGTATCTCAGTAGATTTAGTGCATTTATTATTTAATGCCTTGAGTATTCAACATTTATTACACCTTTTTTATAAAAGTTCTCCCCAAAAAAAAAACTTCATTGGAATGTCCATCTCTTCCATGGTCTCATTTATTCCATCAAACATTATTGTAGATACCCTTGAAATTATGAAAAGGTGGTTTCTGTATTAGGCTGTTCTTAAGGAAAGAATTTGGTCAATAAATTGAAAGAAAACTTTCACTTTCAGGCATTGCCTGGTTTTAAATTCTGCAGAGTATTCTTTAGATGATTTTTTTTTGCAAACATCCATAGAACCATCAGGGTTGTTTCACTTTTTATAAATAGGGGCAGATAACTATTTTTTCTTCCAATCTTTCAAGAATTCTTCCTCCTCTCCTCAGTGATATTGTCATCTCTTAATATGATATTCTGAAAAAAATTATAGATTCACTTCCTCCATGCTTAAATAGCTGGTAATTAATCAAATCCTCGGGCCTGTGGTTCCTTAATTTCTCAATAACTTTTTTATGTCATCTCAACATCTTCATCTGGGATTTTTAGTTTGTGAACACTTTGCTGCACTCATCATTATGCAGGAGACCAAAATGATTCCTCCATCAAGTTAGGATCTTGTTCTTATCAGTAAGCAGAGAACGGTTACGTGTTTACATGTTTGCATGCTGATGATAAATCCTTATACTTCCTTGAATTTAGCTATATGAAAATAAAAATTTATATTTAATTGACCAGTAACCATAATTTAATCTACCATATTTAGTTTTTCAACTATAGTAAAAAATAAAATACTTCACAATTAGAGAAAGAAAGGGTTGTTATTGAAATATTTTGCAGCAAACAAAATTATTTGTTTAAAAAAAATTAAGATTTTATTTTAATGTATAATAATGAATTTAGAAATTAGATGAAATAATTTCTTAATTAACCTTGCTGAATGTCCTTCCCATTCAAGCTTTTTTTTTTGTTTAAAGTCATTAACTAATCTTGTTGGAATATGTTTATATTCTTATCTCACTTAACTTCCCCATTTTTTCTTTTTTATTATAAGAAATTACAATTATTTAATTAAAAAACTCCTATGCAGAAGCATTGAAGTCACACAATCAATACATCTGACAACAATATTATTAAAATCCATATTTTTTTTCTCCTGTTCTTAAACTTTACACTGTGTTTGGTGAAATGTAGTTAGGCTTCAGTATTAATGAGATTGTCAAATACTTAAATATTAGGTTCAGCACTATCTTATACATGTGTAAAAAAACTGAACCTGAACTGCCATAATCCATGGATATTGACTGATTTGTTATAGTCTTTGAACTAGAAATAGTAGAAAAGACACTGCCAAGTTGATCTCAAAGGGATCAATTATAGGAGCTGTGGATAGCCTGCCAGGGCAGCATAGAAACTATGATTCGTAGCGATGTGAGGTCCAATGCCCCTGTTCATTCAAAACTGATAAGTCGATTAGAAGAACAGATTACATGATCAAATACCTCAATGGTCTACAGTGCCAACAGAAGATGTGTGTGTAAAAACGTAATTTAAAACATTGGAAAATATAATTTCCCACCAGTCAAAATAGCAAAGAATTCTTTTGTAATATTTTTTTTTGTAGTATACAGTTTTAGTTCCAAGCAAATTTATTATCAGAATCATTGATTGTCTCTGTGATACTGTTTATGTCACTATTTTCCTTGCATAAGAAAAATACTTAGACAGTTTTATATATTGTTATAAATATACAGTATATATATTGTTGCGTAGCTCCCACTAATGAGTCACGGCTTCCCCAACAGCAGTCACCTGTTCTGTGTGGCGACCATACAGTATACCAATATTCCTCACATCATTGGCCACATAGTCCCGCCATCACAGTCTTGGCGTCCCTA